TCTCTGAAAACATGCTAAGTAAAATAAGCCAGACAGAAAGGAATAAATACTGCAGGAATCCACCTTTATGAGGTATCTGGAATATGAATATTTATGGAGGCAGCAGAATGGAGGTCCCAGCAGGTGGGGGAGAATGGGATGGGAGTTATTGCTCAATGGCTACAGTCTGGGATGATGCAAAAGTTCTGGAAATAGATAGTGGGGATAGTTAATCAACACGGTGAAAGTATTTTGTAACAATAGATTGTATACTAAGAGATGGTTAAAACAGTAAATTTTGGGGCTGGCGCTGCGGCATAGTGGGTAAAGTTGCTACCTGCAGTGCTGGCATCCCACATGGGCTCCAGTTCGAGTCCCAGCTGCTTTCCTTCCAATCCAGCTCTCTGCTGTGGCCTGGGAAAGCAGCAGAAAATGGCCCAAGTTCTTGGGCCCCTGCACCTGCATGGGAGACCTGGAAGAAGCTCCTGGCTCCTGCGTTTGGATTGGTGCAGCTCTAGCCATTGTGGCCATCTGGGGAGTGAACCAGTGGGTGGAAGACCTCTCTCTCTACCTTTGCCTGTGCCTCTCTGTAACTCTGCTTTTCAAATAAAGAAATAAATCTTAAAAAAAAAAAAAAAAAACAGTAAATTTTATGCTATGTATATTTTAGTACAATAAAAACACTTTAAGATCAATAAAGTTCAAAATAACAGGATGGATGATATTCTAAGGCAACCAGACTACTGTTCTCATTGTTGATCAGAAGGCCAGAGCACAGGTTCGTAGGCATTCAGGGCGCCTACACCACTTTGTGCTCTGTGATGAGGATCCTCACGCCGCCTCTCACTTCACTGGCTAAGGCACGAAGAGCACCCATTTGGGGGCTGGCTTTGTGGCGCAGAGGGTTAAGCTGCTGCGTGAGATGCTGGCATCCCATGTGAGCACCTGTCCCAGCTGCTCCACTGCTGATCCAGCTCCCCAGTAATGGGGAAAAGCAGACGGCCCACGTACTTGTGCCCCTCTCACCCACAAGGGAGACCTGGCTGGACTTCCAGGCTCCTGGCTTCAGCCTGACCCAGCCCTGACCATTGTGGCCATCTGGGGATAAACCAGTGGGTAAAGAGCTCATGCACTCACGCACGCGCTCTCTCTCTGTCTCCCCCTCTGTCTCTGTAACTCTGCCTTTCAAATTAAATAAATAAATCTTAAAAAATAAAAAAGCACCCATTTGGCACTACCACTTACATCCGGTCAGTATTGCATCTGTCTTATCTTTTCTCAGGAGCCCCCATACCACAGTGGGTATAATGTGGCTATCAACACAAATGCACCCACTGAAATCACCTGGCAGTAACTGACTATAAGTTGGGGATGTTTAAGACCCAAAATAGAGCCAGCACTGTGGTGCAGTGATTTAAAGCCCCAGCCTGCAGTGCCGGCATCCCACATGGGCGCTGGTTTGAGTCCCAGCTACTCCACTTCTGATCCAGCTCTCTGCTATGGCCTGGGAAAGAAGTAGAAGATGGTCCAAGTCCTTGGGCCCCTGCATCCACGTGGGAGACTCAGAAGAAGCTCCTGGCTCCTGGCTTTGGATCAACTCAGCTCTGGCTGTTGCAGCCATTTGGAGAGTGAACCAGGGGATGGAAGACCTCTCTCTCTGACTCTACTTCTCTGTAAATCTTTCAAATAAAACAAAATAAAAAAAAAAGACCCAAAATACACTTGGATGTTTTCTTAAACAACTGCCAAAATGGGAAACAAGTATTTAAATTCTCACAGAGAATTATTATAAATAAATAAATCCTCTGTTAGATTCTGTTTAGAGGGGCCAGAGTTGTGATGTGCTAGGCCGCTGCCTGTGATGCCAGCATCCCATTTGGGTACCAGTTCGAGTTCCAGCTGCTCTACTTCTGATCCAACTCCCTGCTAATGTGCCTGGAAAAGCAGCAGATGGCCTGTATCCCTGGGCCCCTGCATCCATGTAGGAGACCCAGGTGGAGCTCCTGGCTTTGGCCTGGCCCAGTCCTGGCCATTGCAGCCTTTTGGGAGTGAATCAGCAGGTGGAAGATCTTTGTCTCTGTCTCTCCCTCTCTATATATAACTCTGCCTTTCAAATAAAATAAATAAGTCTTTAAAAAAGATTCTGTTTAGAGTCTCTCTGCTGGAGGGTGAGAAACAATCAAACAACTAAACCGTTGACGCCTCTCCAATCCAGACGTCCTGAGCAACTCCCCAGATGGCTGCAATGGCCAGAGCTGCACCGATCTGAAGCCAGGAGCCAGGAGCTTCTTCTGGGTCTCCCACGCGGGTGCAGGGGCCCAAGAACTTGGGCCATCTTCTACTGCTTTCCCAGGCCATAGCAGAGAGCTGGATTGAAGAGGAGCAGCCAGGACTCAAACCGGTGTTCATATGGGATGCCGGCGCTGTAGGCCAGGGCTTTAACCCAATGCGCCATAACACAGGCCCCTGTTTCTCCCTTTTAAATAAATAGCACAAATATACAAATTTTTTTAAAAAATCTGTTGCCACAACATTTGTTCTCAATTTTATTGACAACATATACTTTTATTTATTTATTTTAAAGATTTATTTTTATTTATTTGAAAGGCACAGTTACAGAGAGAGTGAGGGAGAGACAGAGGGAAAGCGAGATTCTCCATCTGCTGGTTCACTTCTCAAATGACTGCAACAGACTGGGCCAGACCAAAGTCAGGAGCCAGGTGCTTCCTCTGGGTCTCCCACATAGGAGCAGGGGCCCAAGCACCTGGGCCATCCTCTGATGCTTTCCCAGGTGCATCAGCAGGGAGCTGGATTGGAAGTGAAGCAGCTGGGACTCGAACCAGCACCCATAAGGGATGCCAGCATCGCAGATGACAGCTTTGCCACAATGCCAGCCCCTATAAATACATCTTTAGAAGAACAATAAGAAGAGTAAGAGATAGATTTGTGATAAAATATGCATGACAAAATGGTCCTTGTAGTACCTAGGAGGTGAGCTCATGCGTATTCACTACACAATTCTTTCAACCTATTTATATGTTGGAAATTTTCCTATTAAAATACCAGGTTGGGGGGGGATGTGAAGGAGACCCCATTACCCTGGCACCTCTGGCCTTCTCTCGCACTCTCCTGAACTTCAGGCAACGACAGCCTACCCGCCCTGCTTCCATCCTGAAGAGGAAACAGGCCTGGAGGCAAAGGTAGGAATCAGCATAAACTCACACCCTTCAAAATTGAGGATGAGGCCCGAGTAAGCGTAAGTAAGTAAGTAAGTGTAAGAAGTCCAAGTTCTTCTTTCTGGCGATGAAAGGCATTCATATGAGTGGGCATGCTGTTCTACACAAATATGGTGTATGCTTGTGTGTGTGTGAGGGGGAGAGAGAGAGAGATTGAGACAGGGGTAGAAGAGAAAAGGACACACAAATGAGTGTGGGGGCAGGTGTCTGGCACGGTAGTGAAGTGGGGACACCTGCATCCTCCCAGACTGCCTGCTTCAAGCTCCACCACTTCCAACTGATTCCAACCCAGCTTCCTGCCACTGCACACTCTGGGAAGCTGGCAGGTGACGGCTCACATACTTGGGCCCTTCCACCCATGTGGGAGATGCAGATGAATTCTGGGCTTCCAGTTTTGACCTGGCCCAGCACTGGTTAACTGGGGAAATTTGGTGAGCGCTAGATCTCTATTCTGTGCCTTTCAAATAAAAATAAGCAAATAAAAAAAAAGTTTTTTAAAGCCACCAGCAATCATATGACAGCAGGAAAATATTTAAAAATAAATAAATGAGGGGAGGCACCGTGGTGTAGCAGGTAAAGCTGCTGCCTGCAGTGCCGACATCCCATATGGGCGCCAGTTTGAGTCCTGGCTGCACCATTTCCAGTCCAGCTCTCTGCTGTGGCCTGGAAAAGTAGTAGAAGATGGCCCAAGTGCTTGGGCCCCTGTACCTGCGTGGGAGACCTGGAAGAAGCTCCTGGTTCCTGGCTTCAGATCGGCACAGCTTCGGCCGTTGTGGCCAACTGGGGAGTGAACCAGTGGATGGAAGACTCTCTCTCTCTCTCTCTCTCTCTCTGCCTCTCCTTCTCTCTCTGTGTAACTCTTTCAAATAAATAAATAAATCTTAAAAAGAAAATAAATGAGTGTGGAGAAACAGGGTCACTGAAAAAACCAATGACCACATAAAACTGTGAAACTTCTCCAGGCAGTTGTTTTTCTTCTTCTCCTTTTAAAACCAAAACCAAAACCTAAATCTCAACTAGCTTAGTTCAAGGAGAAAGAAACCAGGACAGAGACAAATACTCTCACCGGCTTGAATGGCATGGCCTGTGACTAGGAATTCTCCCAGCTACAATGGAGCTCATTCCAGCAGGTGACTGATGACCAGCTGAAGAGTGATTCAGGACCAATTGTGAAACAGGGGAAAAGAAAAAGCCACACCATAAACAGTGAGTCAAGGAAGTCACAGCTCCCAAGTAAGGCGGCTCTCCCTTCCAGCAGGGTGACTGCGCCCCCTGGCACGAGGACAGGGCAGGGCGGCCCGCGGCCCCCACACAGCCAAGACCTAGGCAGAGCCGGCGATGGAAAGTTTCCCTCCGTCTCTCCTCAGCCCTGGTCACGGGGCGCCTTTAAAGCCATGGGAACGAGGAAAGCTAACCTCGAGCCCGGTAAGCTCCACCTGAAGTCAAGATAAAAACAATCTTCTTGCCTCCACCGCCACCTGACCCCGACGGGCCTCCTGCTCTGAGATCGGAAGATAACGGCCTTCAGGAATTCCACAGGCTCCTTGGCTGAACAACAGGCAGTGCTGTCACATCAGATGCCATTAAAGATAGGAGTCGGAGTGATAAGAGGAGTCTTACTGGAGTCCTGAAGAGTTCCCTGAAGTTTTCCAACCCAGGGTGGTGGCAGCCAAAGGGGAGGCTCTCTCTGGGGCTCTGTGGCTGAGCAGGACCCCTCCCAAGGCAGGCACCCACTCCCTTGTCACCACAGGCTTTGTTCTTTCTAGAACCCAAATGAGCCGTTACCTGCGTGGCCCACTGGATTTGTGAGTGCCAGGCACCAAGCAAGGCGTCATAGAGTCCGGTGAGCTGCCGGTCCAGGGGGAGGTCACTCTGGCACAGCTCCTGCCAGGCTGTTAAGAGCTGCACCTGCAGAGGTAGCACAAAGGGGCCTTGCTGGGAACACCACCACGCTGCCTGACCAAATGGCCCTGATTCACGGCTGCCCCCACACCCCAGTCCTGGGCAATCAGGTACCCACGGAGGTTCGGCCACTTCCTAACAAGACAGAAGAATAATTTATAGTCTGAAACTTGGACCTGTCCCCTCCCGGGGCTCCCCCTCACCCTTCATCCCACCCCAAACACGCTTCCACTCGGCACGCTACTCTTCTGAACAGACCCCGGAGGTGGCCACGGGGCTGTGTGGAAGCTCTGTGTCCTTACTGCTAAAAGACACAGAAGCACTGAACTTGAAGGCATTAAGGTTATCCCGGGAGGCTGCCCAGCTTTTCTGTAACCGAACTTCAACATCCCAAGAAAACATAAACAATGCTTACAGCTTGCTTAAGGCATGATAAAGCTTAAGACATGCCTATCCCTGAGAAGACAAAAATGGGAGTAAGACAACATTTCGAGTCTGCAGCTGAAGCCAGCTCTCAGTACAAAAGGTGATGCAAACTGATGACCCTTCTCCGCCTGGCAAGGAAATGAATCCAGACGCTGGACCAACAGCACCCTCTACTGGCAAGCTAAAAGAAAAAGGGCCGCAGAATTTGTGCCTTTGAGCACGATGGGGATTCTGCAGCCTGTGTTGGGAGAATTCCACAACCGTAATCGCCCGCTGAGAGCGTCTTACCTTGTGACACTTGTAGTAGTACGCGAGGAGCTGGGGCATCCGGTCCACTTCCGTGAAAACCTTCACAAACGCTTTGGACTGATCTAAGGAACAACAGAAGATGTGTGCATACAGTGATCAGGTTTTCCGGTGCAGCCAAGGGAAGGAACTCACCAGGGGAAATGCAGATGTGTGTGAGCTAGTGCTCCTAGATGGTGGCAGGGACACAGTGACTTGGGCCATCACCTGCTGCCTCCTACGTGCACTAGCAGGGAGCTGCGTCGGAAGTGGAACTCGAAGTGGCACCCTGAGAGTGGACGCCGGTGTTACAAGGGGTGGGCTAAGCTGCTGTGCCACATCACCAGCCTCTGTGATGATCTTTCGGTTTCTAATCGGCCGGCCTAAATTAGGTTGCCCCTGCTAGTCCATGTAACGTCTTCTTCATAGAACTAATGGCAATCTCTACTTACTTCATTTTGATGCCTATACAATAGCTTATTGTCTTTTTCACCCATGGAAACAAATCCCATGAGGGCTGTGACCTTTCCTGGCTTGCTTCACTGTTTCCAGAAACAAGCACAATAAATGGTACAGGTACTCAAAAAGTGTATTAATGATTGTCTTAATTTTTTTTGGAGGGGGAACAGGTAATTGTTTAATTTTTTTAAGATTTCTTTTATTTATTTATTTGAGACATAGAGTTAAAGAGAAAGGGAGAGACAGAGAGAAAGGCCTTCCATCTGCTGGTTCACTCCCCAATGGCTGCAATGGCCAGAGCTGAGCCAATTGGAAGCCAGGAGCTTGGAGTTTCTTCTGGGTCTCCCAAGAAGGTGCAGGGGCCCAAGTACTTGGGCCATCTTCTATTGCTTTCCCAGGCCACAAGCAGAGAGCCAGATTGGAAGAGGAGCAGCCGGGACACAAACCCGCACCCACACAGGATGCTGGAGCTGCAGGCGGAGGCTTAGCCCACTACACCACAGCGCCAGCCCCATTAATGATTGTTTTAAACACATTGTCAGCATTACAAGTAGCATGCTTTTAAAAATCAAGAAACAGTAGGTCCATGGTAGAAATAATGGAAACAGAGGACAAGAAGAAACAACTGCCTACATCTTATATGTGTTCAAATAAACACTGTTAACAGTTGGGTATATGTTCAAAGAATGTTTTGAAGTTTGTGTTCATTTTATTTATTTTAGAGAGAGAGAGGGAGAGACAGAAGCAGAGATCCCCCAGTTGTCAGTTCACTTTCCAAACGCTGGCAGCAGCCAGGACTGTTCCCAGGAGCTGGGGACTCAATCCAGGTCTCCCACGTGAGTGGCAGGGACCGAACAACTTGAGCCAACACCTTTGCCTCCCAGCGTGAGCATTAACAGGAAGTTGGGGTCAGGAGCTGGAGCCAGGACGCGAACCCAGGCCCTCCAATGTGGGGTGCAGGTGTTCCAAGTGGTAACTTTGCTGTGTCAAACACCTGCCCCATTTTTAAAATTTTGTATTCACTTCATTCATTTCAGATGCACATAAAGAGAGGAAGAGGGACAGACAGAAAACTCTCTAACAAAATGAAGTCAAGAAACACCTAAAATTAGTATCTGAAGAAATTAAATAATACATTTAACATGTAGAAATATGAAGTAAATACCAGGAAAAAAAAAAAAAAAACAGCTCCAAGAGTGTTGAGCTGTGGGTTCTAGAAATGGGCCTGGGAATGAGGAGGTAGAGGCTGAGGGTTTACCTGCCCCTGTAAGCCCCTTAGCACTACTTAACTTTTTTTTTTTTTTTAATATTGTAGGTGATGAGAAAAAAATCTACCTGAGGGTAGGCACACAGTCTAGAGGTTAAGATGCTGGTTAGGATGCCCACGTCCCACAGGGCAGGCCTGGGACTGCCGTGCTGGCTCCACTCAATTCCAGCTTCCTGCTAATGGAGACTGCGAGGCAACCGTGATGGCTCAAGCGGCTGGGTCCCTGCCACCCACGTGGGAGGCCTGCATGGAGCTCCTGGTTCCTAACTTTGGCTTGGCCCATTCCTGGTAACTGGCTTTGGGGGAGTGAACCAGAAGATGGGATTTCTCTCTCCTTCAAATACATGCTTTTAAAAATATAACCAAATTCAGGAAAAAGAAAAGTGAAACCAACTGACTACACTGCGCACCTGGGCTTTGAATCTAGCTGAGCTGAATCTGCTGAGCTGCATGGCTTTTTACAAATAATCCATGCTTCACTCAAACGGGCTCTTCCAAAGCTCCCACGTGGAACGACTCGTTAAGGAGCTGGTCTGTTAGGAATCAGGCCCCTGGAGCTACCGCAGAAGCTACCTGTCTGAGAGGAGAGGGGTACTGTGCACCGAGCACCTCCTCTCTGACTGGTCCTCTCACCTCACTGGGCTCTCACAGCTCACAAGGAGCAGGCCAGAGATTGAAAACTGGCTCCAGCCACCTCCAACGTCAACACCCCTCCCACTCTGCCACACTTCCCGGCAGACCCACCTATAAACTGTAACAGCCATGAACTTGGTCCCTGAAGACAAATGACTTAACCCGCCCCAGGCAAATGCGGTTCTGTCCCCAGCCTTCCTCTCGGGTCTCATCTCTGACCACTTCCCAATGCTTGTGCCACTAAGGCAGGTTGAATTATTATTCCCCAGACAGTCCCCGAGTATTCCCTCTCCTGTGCCATTCAAGCACAGGCGCTGCCTCTGCCCCCTGCGCATCTCTTGGCAACATCGTGGACTCATGGGAAAACGCTCATGCTATGTTGCTAACTGGGGCCGAGAGAGAGAGAGAGAGAAAACTATATAAACTAATGTCTATATTTTTCCTAAAAGACACATGTATACAAGAGAAAAAACACTGGAAGAACATACTAATAGTCACCTCTGGTTGTGAGTTGACTAGCAAATCATTTTTGTTTTCCTATTTTTCAGAGACTCACTAACCTGTATTGTTCTTATCATCAGAAATTTTTTTTGATGATTTTTCTAATCCACGTATCTTTCAAGATTCTGCACATATACTGACCCTTGCGGACGCTTCCTCCACTGCCCCCACACTCGGGCAGCTTCCCCTCTGCACCTGGCAACACAATTACTTGTGGACTTGTTCTCACCGAGCCTTACCCTCAACCAAGCTGGAGGGCCCGTAAGCACAGCAACCTGACCTTATTCATCTCTATTCCTCGCTGTCTGGCACATATTTTGCATTTTTAGATAACCTGGACAAGTGGGTTACCCCTTTGCAAATGCCTACTGGGATTACACAGAGGGGAGCTAAGAACCAGCAAGCACACGGAATCCTACAGGTTCACACGCTTGGTGGTTTGAGGAATGAGTAAATACTTTGGAACATGTCAGCATTCCACACATAGCAATGGGCTCCGAGAGCCAAGTAACAGTTCCAGCAGCAAGTGGTTTCTTACATATTTCCCGAAGGGGAAAGGAAATGAGGAAATGCACTGCCCCATTTCCAGCTTCCTGATAAAAAAAACTGGGAGGCAGGTGCCGGGGAGTCCCTGATACACTGCAACACCGCGGGCTCATGTCTGCCTCCTTCTGGCCAAATCTAGAATCACAGCTTTAGAATTACATTTAAAAGAAGGAAATTTAAAAAAATATATAGCTAACAGGTCCCCAACCTTTTTATATCTGTGTTGTTCCCTTTGCTTCTGGGAAACCCAGTACACTGCTGTGGGGCCAGCACCATGGTATAGCGGGTAAAGCTGCCACCTGCAGTGCCAGCATCCCAAAAGGAGCAGTCCCGGCTGCTCCTCTTCTGATCCAGCTCTCTGCTGTGGCCTGGGAAAGCAGCAGAAGATGGCCCAAGTCCTTGGGCCCCTGCCCCCGCATGGGAGACCTGGAAAAGGCTCCTGGCTCCTGGGTTCGCTTCGGTGCAACTCCGGCCATTGCGACCATTTGAGGGGTGAATCAGAGGATAGGAGACCCCACCACCCCCCCCGCCGACTCTGCCTTTCTTTAACTCTGACTTTCAAATAAATAAATAAATAAATCTTTTTTAAAAAAGTGACTACTGTGGAGTTACCCGGCTAAACTTTGGGACCTGCTACCAGATCTCAACTCAGTGGGCAGGAATCTGTGAGTTAGAAAATGCATATCTGCCTTTAACATGCCTATAATATTCATAAGATCACTTAAATAAATGAGCCTTCCTGCTACCGTTACATTTCATCAGTCGTAAGATGAAGAAGTTCTGGGGTTCTGGTGCACCTGGTGACTGTAGCTGTTTTTAAAATAAAAATAGCAATAAATGTTTTTATAATTATAGATTATTATTATATCCTTAAAATCTGCTGACAGTACATCTTAAGTGTTCTCACCACAATAAGACAGACGTTACTGTAACGGTGTGAGGTGACAGATCTGCTAACTAATTTGATGGGGTAATCACTTTCCAATATAAATGCACATCAAATCATCATGCTGTATACCTTATAGATATTTTTTATTTTTAATTTTACCTCAATAAAGCTGAAAAAAGCACCCCTTTTCTTCTCAAAAATGTCCTTTTTAATAATAAATTGTACTGTTGAACTCCGTATACTGAAATTTTAGAATACTTACATATATGATGAGTTTATATATACATTCTGCATATTTATAATTATTTAGCATTAGCTTTAAACAACAGCACACTCATCCACCCTGAAACATTGAAAAAGTCTGACTGAATTCCTAAGATGTCAGAAGGTTTCACAGTTTAATTTCACCCTCAGAATTGCACCCCCATATACACAAAACCGACTCAGACGCCAGGAGAGGAAAACGTTTCCAGGACGGGAGAGTAAGCCAGCACTGCCCACTGCTGTTGACAATGAGAAACAGAGAAGCAGAAACGGACAGCAGGCCTTGGCATTGGGTGAAAATGCAGACATGAACAGAACAGGGCAGGGAACGTTAAGCTCAGGGCGGAAGGCCCTGCGTGACACACGAGCTGGGGCAGGCACGCGGGCAGCAGGTGAGGCATCCCTTATGACAGTGCCTGAGTTCCTACTCGGCTTCCAGCTCCGGCTTCCTGCTGGTGCCCAGCCTGGGCAGCAGCAAGTCAAGGACCTGGGTTCCTGCCGCCCTCTTAGGAGACCTGGATGCCCCCAGCCATTGCAGGCATTTGAGGAGTTACCCAGGGGATGAGACCTCTCTGCCTGTCAGATAAATAAAATGGAATATGTACAAGCAGATGGAAGGAAAACAGAATTAGTGGATACACACTGCATTCTGTCAATCAAAAAAGCTGCAGAAGTAAAAAAACAGCCCTGCTGCTGCTGCTTCGTTTTTAACCGTTTTGTGGATGAAAAAGACAGGAAGCATTAGACAAACTTATTTGTTGGAAAATATGTACATCATAATGTTCTTTTGACAAAATTTTTATTTATTTTATTATTTGAAAGGGAGGGCGTCCTCCCATCTGCAAGAGTTGGGGCTGGCTCAGGGTCTCCCACATGGGTAGCAGGGACCCCGCTACGTGCTGCCTCCCAGGGTGGACATTAGCATGAAGCTGAATTGAAAGCAGAGCTGGTCCTGGAACCCAGGCACTCCGATGGCATCTTCACCCGTGTGCCAAATGCCCACACCATAGTGTCCTTGAGGGAGTCAAAACTCACCAAGAGCAAAGAATGTGCATTTCTCTAATATAAATTTTACCTCAAAAATAAAAGAACCATAAACCAACACTGAGCTTCAGTTATCGATATGAAAACTGAAGTGCTCAGCAGTGAAGTGCACTGACTTCTACAGCTCACTTGGAAATAAAACGGATCAATGGCTGCATGAACGGATGGATGGGTTGGTAGACACAGGGTAAATCGAACGTGGCAAATGCTGATGGTAGAACCCAGATGGTGTGTTCACTGCACTTGGTGCAACTTTGCTGAATGTTCAAAAGTTTCATAGAGAATGCTGAAAGCAAGTATCTCAACATGACAGATTTTCTGGCAATCCACGTAATTTAATGACGATCAAGGCATTCCAAAGCTTTCCCCTTCTGGAGATGAGAAACGGCCCACACTCACCCACAGACTGCGTGGTGAACGCGGCCACGATCTGGGGACTGGCCAGGGCCTCCAGCCTGTTCTTCAGCGCCTCCAAGTGCACACATTTTTCGGAGTAGTCTGGGGTGTCCACAAGCATCGCCAAGCTGTTCTGCATGCCCGTGAGCTTGGCAGAAATCACAGCTATGTCCTTTTAAAAAGACCAGGATAAAGAGCGGTTATTTATGTGCACTGGGACAGAGAGATTGCAACACTGGTTAAGAAGATGGCTCAGGTGTCACAGGAGCACAGGTTAGGGAGCAGTCAGTTCTGCGCATGACAGGCGAGGAGCCAGCAGAGAGGGCTCTGGAGGAGGCAGCGCGTGGGCTGCACCTGGAGGCACAGCAAAGGGGAGGGCAGCTGGCGTGGGCAGAGAAGTGAGCATGAGGCACGGCGGGCCACAGTCGGAGTGCTCACAGCGGGACATGTGGATGGAAGAGCCACAGGGTGGAGGAAAAAGGAAGGAGACCCTGGGTGCTGTTGTCTGGTCCCAGGAGCAAAGGATTAGAAGAGCACAGAGGCCCGATGGAAAACGCCACCACCAACCCAGACAGGCAGGCCCTGAGAAAAAGTAAACGGGATGGCCTTGGACACAAAGAATGAACTTGAAGGGCCTAGCCTGAGTCCCGGCAGTTCTGAGCCTCTAGAACTTATGGGCAGTTAGTTCTGAGTCTCCAGACAGAAGAGGGAGAAAACTTCTATCTCTCGGTAGTTTTCCATGGAAATCAGACATGATATTTAAATATATTCTCTCCCATACACATGCACAGGGAATCCAATAGTGTTTGTAACTTACATATAGGAAGCCTGGATCAACTAAACTGTCAGAAACTAAATGGGATAAGACAGTGCTAACTGATGTAGAACAGCAGATACAGGGCCGGCGCTGCAGCTCAATAGGCTAATCCTCTGCCTTGCAGCGCCGGCACACCAGGTTCTAGTCCCGGTTGGGGCACCGGATTCTGTCCCGGTTGCCCCTCTTCCAGGCCAGCTCTCTGCTGTGGCCCGGGAGTGCAGTGGAGGATGGCCCAAGTACTTGGGCCCTGCACCCGCATGGGAGACCAGGAGAAGCACCTGGCTCCTGGCTTCAGATCAGTGCGGTGCGCCAGCCGCAGCAGCCATTGGAGGGTGAACCAACGGTAAAGGAAGACCTTTCTCTCTGTCTCTCTCTCTCACTATCCACTCTGCCTGTCAAAAAATAAATAAATAAATAAAAGAAGATACAGTACAGAGTGAAAAACGCTGCCAACGGCATCCACGGTGCGCCATTGTTTGAGGGAGAAAAAGAGCAGGGCCCAGCTACATGTGCTCCTACCCGGAAGGAAGGCATGAAGCTGACAACGGGGTGTGTCTGCGAATCAGAAATTAGGGGACTGGAGGGTCCGGGTTAGAAAAAAACCTTATTTTTCACAGTTTATTCCTGGTTACTGAATGTTTTCCCACATGCATATATAACTTTAAAAAAAATTTTACTTGTGATAATAAAGAAAACTGAAAGTATGCCATTGTAAAAACTAAAAGAAAAAGAAGAGGAGGAGGGAGGGTAGAAGTGAGGGAGGAGGGTACAATGGGAAGTATCATTATCCTCTTAAAACCATATATATGAAATACTTGAAATCTGTTCCCTTTATATAAATAAATATAAAAAATAAAAATAAAGAAAACATTGGAAGGTGAGGCACTGTGGTGTAGTGGGTAAAGCTATGGAGCCGTATGGGCACCAGTTTGATTCCTGGCTGCTCCACTTCCAATCCAGCTCCCTGCTGATGCGCCTGGGAAAGCAGCAGATGATGGAACATGTGCTTGGGCCCCTGCACCCACGTGAGAGGTCTGGAGAAGCTCCTGGTTCCTGGCTTTGGATGAGGCCAGCTCCGGCCGCTGCGGCCATTTGGGGAGTGGATCAGCGGATGGAAGACCTCCCCCCTAACCCCGAGTGACTCTGCTTTCCAAATAAATAAATAAATCTTCAAATAAATAGTTGGGTAATTTCTTATAAACATATATTTATCACATAACCCAACAATTCCATTCCTAAGTCTTTACTTTAGTGAAGTAAAAACTTATCTTCTCATCAAAACCTGTTTTATGGGGGCAGACACTATGGCTCAGTGGGTTAAAGCCCTTATGGGCAGTGCCAGCAACCCATGTGGGGCTGGTTCAAGTACCGGCTGCTCCACTTCCGATCCAGCTCTCTGCTATGGCCTGGGAAAGCAGTAGAATAGGGCCCAAGTGTTTGGGCCCCTGCACCTGCGGGGGGGACCTGGAAGAATCTGCAGGATCCTGGCTTCAGATCGGCCTAGGTCCGACCATTGCAGTCATTTGGGGAGTGAACCAACGGATGGAAGATCTCTCTCTCTGTAACTCTGCCTTTCAAATAAATAAACAAATAAATCTTTATTTAAAAAAAACTGTTTTATGAATGTTTGTAGAATTTCTGGTAATATTTATCCATAATCATCACAAACAGGAAGAACCTAAATGCTTGTCACCTGGGGAACACATAAGCAAACTGTGGTGCATCCACGCAACACAATTCTGTTGAGGAACTAAGAGAAACAAGTGAGATACTGCAGATCCTAGAGGTTCTGTCCGAGTCACTGCAGGGCTGATTTACTTATAAGACACTCTGGAAAAGACAAAACTCCAGGGGTGGAGAAGGGGTCAGAGGCGGGGGTGGGGGAGGGTTGATGACAAGGCTGCGGCATGAGGGGAGTCGCAGTGGACACTCTGCAGCTTGCCTGTGACTGTGGTTACCCGACTCGATCAATCTGTCAGAACTCCAGGTACTGCACACCAAAAAAATTAATTCACTACACACAGTTTTCTGAAATAAATACATATTTTAAATATCAAAAAAAAAACTTTATAAATTTTTTTTAAGGCAAAGAGATGAGCAGTAATTTGTTTTGTCCCACAACTGGAACAGCTTTTCACCGGACATCGTCTCACATCATCTCCTTCCTGGCAGGCCTCAAAGGCACCGTGATTTCCTCTGCAGCCCTGGGGCTTTGCCAGGGTCCCACCGTGGGTGAGGCCTCTCTACCCCTGTTCCACGCCCTCGCCCAGCCCCGTCCTCTCTGAGGCTTCTGAACTCACTCTCCCGGCAGGCAAAGCGGGCAGAAGTCGGAGCCGGGCCGCATCTTGCCTTCCCGGTGTGGGAAAGGTTTCCGTGTGCTGCTACTGGGGCTCCCCTGCGGTCTGATCAGTGGCTACCTTGCCTTCTCCGCTCCTTAAGGCCCTGCCTAGATGAATGCCACAACGTCCCCTAAACAGGAGACCTACCTGAGTCTTGAAGGTCTCCTCGATGTCGGCGCTCAGGGTGCTCCACTTGTCTGCTTCCTGCAGAGACTCGGCAGCCAGCTGCATTCTGGACTTGACCTGATCGATTTCCACCAACACCTGCGGGGAAAGGGAGGCGAGAAACCGAGGCAGATCCTGACTCTGCTCCTTCCTGCAGTGACTGGAAACAAGCGTCATGGCCCGCTCCTCCTGTCTTTAGGGAGCCTCTGCACCCCCAAACCACCGGTCACCTGACTGCAGCACCTGCTGAAGGGGTGACTAAGCTGAAAGAACACAGCAAGGAGGTCGTGTAAATGCTGAGCAGGATTCTGGGTTGGGGTCGTGGTTCAGCAGGCTCAGCCACCACTTGGCACACATACAGCCCAGATCTGAGTGCCGGCTCAAATCCTAGCTACTCCCCCTCTGATCCAGCTTCCTGCTAAGGCATTCTGGGAGGCAGCCGATGACGGCTCAAGCGCTTGGGGCCCTGCCACCCATGGGAAACCCGGATAGAGTTCTAGGTTCTGGACTTCAGCCAGACCTAGTTCTGACTGTTGCAGGTATTTGGGGTATGAACAGATTTTTTTTTTCCTCTCTCTCTCTCTGCCTTTCAAGTGGATGAAAATAAATAAAAATAAACATTGACAAGAATTTTTCCGAGTTAAGATGGGCCTCCTGTGATGTGCTGTTCTAAGCGCCTTAGGAGAGGGAAGATCTTCCAGGATCAAGAATCTAACATTCAGGACAGGTGCCAATACCTGCATGGACTGTGATGTGTCCTGCTCAAATTTCCTAATGTCCTCCTTGACAAGAATCATTTGTTCTTTCAGGAAAGACGCCTCCTGTTTAAGGGCCTCGACGTCACGGAGCACTCTGGGCATGTTCTGAAGGGCTTGGTGACTTGTTTCTACAGAAAAAGAAAAAAAAATCCAGAGTGGCACAACAGGTGACAAGCAGAACGGCCACCAGCGAGGAACAGGAGATAAATGAGACCACAGCGAGGAAACTCTCCCGAAATCATTCCCAACCACAGTCTCCGGGGCCTGTGCAAAACGTGGGGCAGCCCAGGGGACGGGTGCTGTGAGGTTGCCTCGCTGGGGCCACGTCCTTGCCAGGGAGAGGGCCGCCTTAGCCTTAACAAGGAACGGACCGTCAAGCTGACCCGACCCCGGCTGTTTCCCAGGGCGAGGGAAGCTGTAACACCCTCTGCAAGAAAGAGTCTGGGCGCGTGCCAGCCCTGCCCAGGGAGCCCCCCAGGCCCCGTCTCACTTAACATCCACACAGTCATCACCAGCTTCTCACTGAGGAGGAAGCGGAGGCGCAGAGAGGTTAAGTAACTCACGCCACACCTCAGGAGCCGGGACCAAATTGATGTCTCCTTCCCAGAATTCCTTATGTTTTTTTTCCTCCAATTTCCATATTCTTTTTTCTCCTGTTTCCATATTTTTGAGCTTTTTCTAGGCTATTTTGCTTTTTTAAAAAGATTTATTTATGTATTTGAAAGTCAGAGTTACAGAGAGAGAAGGAAAGGCAGAGAGAGAAAGAGAGAGAGAGAGAGAGAGAGGTCTTCCATCTGCTGGTTCACTCCCCAGTTGGCTGCAATGGCCAGAGCTGCACTGATCCGAAGCCAGGAGCCAGGAGCTTCCTCCAGGTCTCCCACGTGGGTGCAGGGGCCCAAGTGCTTGGGCCATCTTCTACTGCTTTCCCAGGCCATAGCAGAGAGCTGGATTGGAAGTGGAGCAGCTGGGACTTGAACCGGAGCCCATATGGGATACCGGCACTGTAGGCGGCAGCTTTACCCACTACGCCACAGCACTGACCCCTCTAGGCTATTTTTCTGCTAAGTGCAACACTTTTTTTTAGGAATATACTTAGTTTTCCTCATTACTGGATAGTGAAGGAGAGTGTTATTTCAAAGGACCACCCAATGTTGAGAAGAAAAAAGAGATTCCTTTGACGGATAGCCTTTGAAAATGTCTTTCGGGGCTGGCTCTGTGGTGTAGCAGGTAAAGCCACCGCCTGAAGCACCGGCATCCCATATGGGCGCCGGTTTGAGTCCCAGCTGCTCCACTTCCGATCCAGCTCTCTGCTGTAGCCTGGGAAAGCAGAAGAAGATGGCCCAAGTCCTTGGGCTCCTGCACTCACATGGGAGACCTAGAAGAAGCTCCTGGCTCCTGGCTTCGGATCAGTGCAGCTCCAGCCGTTGCGGCCAGTTGGGGAGTGAACCAGTGGATGGAAGACTCACTCTTTCTCTTTCTCTCTCTCTTTCTCTCTCTCTCTCTCTGCCTTTCCTTCTCTCTGTGTAACTTTTAAAAAATAAATAAAATCTTTAAAAAAGAGAAAAATACGTGTGAGTCACCATGTGACATTTCCACAAGCCCAGTGGAGACATCAGCGGGTGACACTGTGAACGGAAGGTTCCTGCTTTGAAATCCCAGCTGCCCAGGAAGTTTTCCAATGCTAAAGTATAAACTGTGGCCCCTGACTTCCCCAAGGGTTCTGTCCCATCCTGAACCAAACTGACCTCTTGGGGGTGGGGCCGAGCGCAGGGACAGGGACACGCCTGAGCTACAGGCGAGAGCAACCTCGTCCACGTCACTGATTAATGTCGGGTTGAACTGCCCATACACTTCTGGCGCCCCCTGGGCGCTGCGGCTGCCGTAACTGTAGAACGTGACAACAGGACGAGTGAGACTGAGCCAAGACGCTGTACAAGTTTCAGAGAATCTGAGGGTGTGCGGGCGGTGGCCCAGGGATGAGCCAGAGGCCCCGGGAGCAGGCTGAAGGAAATAAACACTAAGGGGTCTCCAGTTAGTCCAGTGGTGAACATTCTGGAATCACCCCAAGTTTCTCATTCAGTGGGTGCGGGAGGAGGCCCACGATGCCCATGCCTAACTGCTGCTGGTGGCAGGCCCGCACACTGAGATCGACTAGACTGTTCCTTCGCTGCTCCCCTGCCTCACCCCTGTGTGCCAGCATCGTGACACAGCAGGTAAAGTGCCCCCTGTGACGCCTGGCACCACATATGGGCACTGGTTGCTGTCCTGGCTGCTCCATTTCTGATCCAGCTCCCAGCTTATGGCCTGGGAAGTAGCACAAGATGGCTCAAGTGTTTGGGCCTCTGCACCCACGTGCGAGACCTAGAAGAAGCTCCTGGCTTCAACCTGGCCCTGCCCTGGTCGTTGTGGCCATTTGTGGAGTGAACCAGCGGACGGAAGGTCTCCCTCTGTAACTCTGACATTCAAATAAATCTCTTTTTAAAAAACCATCGTAGCCCTAGATCTGAACTGCAGCACGGAGGCCCGCCGCGTGGGCTGCATGGGGGTGTGCCAAGGAGAGGCACGCGAGTGGCTTCTTCACGCAGCCCTTCCGTAAACTGTGCCATCCCTGATGGCGGGTGGCCGCTCACAGTACAAAACCTTTCTGAGGGCAGTTATACAGGATGACGAAAAAGCAGCAATGCTGTTCTGTGGTCTTTTCAAAATGTGGCCCACAGGCCTCCGGTGTCAGCTAGAATGGAGTTCAGATGCAAATGTAGGTGCCAAGGCCACCTGTCCGAGGTTTCCACTCAGCAGGCACGGTGTGAGGTCAGGGAATGTGGACGTGGTTAACAGATGTCTAACAGCAGAACACAATTTGAAAATCTTTGCAGACCGTGCTGTGTGATCTGGGGTTAGGAAGGTTAGCAGTAAACCCCATCCAAACAAGTCCGAGGTCTTCCTCCCCTCCCCCCAGCGCACCGGGTGGAAGCTGCACCTTGTCTCTGCCCACCCTCCACCCCGCCCAGTGTGCTCCATGGCACCTGAGCATCTTGACAATGAACTCCCAGGACCTGCTCATCCACCTCCACCACAAAATAACAATCTGACCCCACATAAGGTTCCCAAGATAGGAAACAAAGAACCACAAAGGGGTCTTCAGTGGGCAGGTACCTCCCTGACTTTCACAGCACTGCTGAGGCCCCAGCCAGGTCTCCAGCCCGAGAAACCTCGGAATCACACTTCCGGTCTGGGCTGGCTCCCTGCGTGCCTCTCTTCCCTCCCCTCAGCCCTGCAAACTTCAGCCCACTCCTGTACCCGTTCTAAAGGCTACCATTTCCCATGGCTGCCCCTGCAAGGGTAAAGACCAGATTCCAGCGCAAAGGGGCATGGGAAGATTTTAGGGGGTGACAGCAGCGTAGCTCAATACATTTGTTCAAACTCCTCAGATAAGATCCATGCATGTAAACGTTATCTAAACAAACAGAAGTGGGAGGGGCCGGCAAGGTGGCTTAGTGGGTAAGGCCACCACCTGCAGTGCTGGCATCCATTATGGGTGCCGGTTCGAGTCCCGCTGCTCACTTCCAATCCAGCTCTCTGCTATGGCCTGGGAAAGCAGTAGAAGATGACCCAAGTCCTTGGGCCCCTCCCTGCAGCTGTGTGGGAGACCCAGAAGAAGCTCCTGGCTCCTGGCTTCGGATGAGCGCACCACCTCTGGCGTTGCGGCCAACTGGGGAGTGAAGCAGCAGATGTAAGACCTCTCTCTCTCTCTCTCTCCTTCTCTCTCTTTCTTACTCTTTCAAGTAAAATAAATAAATCTTGAAAAAAAAGAAGAAAAAAAAAACACAGAAGTGGGCATTTGTCCTAGCAGTTTAGAGCCTGGGTCTCTTCTCTGAGCACCTAGGTTTGATAATCAGCTCTGGTTCCCGAGTCCACCTTCCTACTAACGGGGATTCTGGGAGGCAGCAGGGCATGGCTCAAGTGGTCGGGTTCCAGCCGGCCGTGTGAGAGACCTTGGTTGAATCTGGGGCGCCTGGCATTTGGGAAATGAAGCAGCAGATCCTCTTCTGCTGCCGCTTCTCAAATAAAAAAAAACAATGAGCTTGGGTTCTGGGAGCAGTTTCCCTGGGTTCAAATCCAGGCTCCCCTACTCGTGAGCAATATGCCACTGGGCAAATTACTGCTCTTGGACTCAGCTATGCAGTAGGAATAACAACAGTGCCTATCTCAAGAATCATCCTTGGGACCGGTGTTATGGCATAGCCAGTTAAGCCCCTGCCTGCAGGCAGTATCCCAATTGGCTGCTGGTTCAAGTCCCGGGTGCACTACTTCCAACCTGGGAAGGCAGCCGAAGACGGCCAAGGTGCTTGAGCAGTGCACCCACGTGACAGCCCAGGATGAAGCGCCAGGCTCCTGCCTTTGGCCTGGCCCAGTCCTGGCTGTTGTGGCCATTTAGGAAATGAACCAGCAGATGGAAGACCTTTCTCTCTCCGCCTCAACCCCCTCTCCCCACCCCGTAACTCTGCCTCTCAAATGAATAAATCTTTTTTAAAAGAATTACTCTTAGGTTTAAATTAGATAATCATGCCCCAAAATTAACATTCTGCCCAGGACAACAGTGCAATGTGCAGGACTGTGCGAAGTATCACAGGACATTAAACACTGCTGGGTCTGTCCACTAAATGTCCACCATTGTGACGTCCCTTACCACCTGACACTCATTGCTAAGTATTACCAGGGGAGGGGGCAGAGGCAGGGAGAGGCAAGGAGGAAACACAGTTTCACACCTAAAGCACTTAGAACAGTAACTGGCCCACTTTTACCAATGCCCTCCCTTTGCCAGATGAAGTCTGCCTTCGAGGCCCGCTGTGGGGAAAGCCCTATACAATTCTCCCAGCTAGGAGGTGACTGCTACCTCCCGCCAGCCCTCAGAGCTCCAGGTTCCACGCTCCGCAAAGCCACCTCTCACTGTAACAGAACTGTGTACACGTCTTCCCCACCGGCAGCAGCCGAAGAAAAGTAAAGTTCTCATCCTCAGTACCCATTTCTCTCATTTTTCTTTTAAGATTTATTTATTTATGAGAGGCAGAGTTATAGACAGAGGGAGAGGTCTTCCATCCCCAGATGGCTGCAGAGCCAGAGCTGCACCGATCTGAAGCCAGGAGGCAGGAGCTTCTTCCAGGTCTCCCATGTGGGTGCAGGGGCCCAAGGACTTGGGCCATCTTCTTCTGCTTTCCCAGGCCATCAGCAGGGAGCTGGATTGGAAGTGGAGCAGCCAGGACTCGAACCAGTGCCCATGTGGGATGTTGGTGCTACAAGCGGATATTTTACATACTATGCCACAGCACCAGCCCCTTCTCTTATTTTCTTAAGCTCTCCATCTTCTTTTTAACATTTATTTATTTAGACTACACACACACGCACACACACACACACACACACACACACACACACCCCTCTTCTATTTTGGGGCTGAGCCAGGCCAAAATCAGGAACTCAATCTTAGTCTGGCTCCTGAGTGGCAAGGACTTAGTACTTGGGCCTTGATCGGCCGCCTCCATTTCCTGGAGTTCAGGGCTAATGCACCTGGGAAAGCAGTGGAGGGTGGTCCAAGTCCCTGGACCCCTGCACCCACGTGGGAGCCCTGGAAGAAGCTTGTGGCTCCTGGCTGTGGCCCTGGCCCAGCCCTGGCCACTGCAGCCATCTGGGGAGTGAACCAGCGGATCGAAGATCACTCTCTCTCTCCCTCTTCCCCTCTCTGAAACTCTGCCTTTCAGATAAATAAATAGTAAAAAAAAATAAATAAATAAATAAAAAATTTAACGGCTCCATTCGGGCCGGCCCATCTTCCTTGGCAGACAGGTGTCATTCCCAAACTTTCACTATCCTGACAATTATTTAACGCTCTCAACATTCACTCCTCTAAGTTTTAAAGGCGATTTCGTGGCACTGCCAGAGGTGGAAAACAAACTCCCCAAATCGGCAGGTGTTCAAGGCGGGGCGGGCACCGAGCTGACTCCCCGGGCGCAATTACAAGACTGCGGCCGCCCGCCCGCGGCTCACCCTCCACGGCGTGGTTCACCTCCTGGATGAACAGCTGCAGCTTCATCACCAGCGTGGCCGCGTGGCCGTCCGCCTTCCCGGCCGCGGCCTCCTTGGGGCCAGCCTTGAAGGCCGCATTGATCCACTCCTTCACGTCGAAGTCGTCGGCCAGGAACTTGGAGAAGTCCATGGCGGCACGGCTTCGGGCCTGGGGTTCAGGCCTGAAAGGCTGGCTCTGGAAGACAGCGATGACGAAGTAGCAGGCGACCCGGCGAGGGCACCGCACACACCTCAGCGTACAGCACGGATGGGTAATTTGTCCCTCTGCGAACTGCCCCTCTGTCCGTTCGCGCAGGCTGTGGCGGGGAATGAGCCTCGCCGCGCGCCGTACTTTCTTCCGGAAGTGGGTGGCCGTTACCATAGCGACTGCCGGCGCTCCCGGCGCTTAGCTGAGCGACACACAGGAGAAACGCCCAGGACGGCGGGCCCAGGGCAGGTACAGCCTCCCGCCTTGTGTTAACATCTGCGGAGCACTAAACTTTATGTTTGCTACAGCCGTCTTTACGTATATTAGTGCGTTTCATTCTCCTAAAGGCTGTTATTCTCCCCAGCCTGTAAGAACTGGCAGTTAAACAACGGCTTTTCGAGGCAGCTTGCAAGTGGCACGGTCGGGTTTTGAACTCGGGCTGGCCACGGAAGCCCGCGTGGCCTTTCCCGCCCGGCTCTTGGCTCCGGCCACCCTGGCTTCCCGCCCTTCCTGCGGCTCCACCAGGAACCCCGCCGGCCTCCGCACTGACTGGTTCCTCCAGCCTGAAACCGGAGCAAATCAATGATTTTTAGTGAAGTGGGTTAGAGTCGTGCCGTCTGCAGGAGAGCATTTCCATCAGCTTAAAAATGGACCTGTGTGCCCAGCTGCTCCTACTCCCAGCCCTAGGGAATCGCTAGCCTGCGTTCTGTCTATAAATTCACCTTTGCAGGACATGGCAGAAATGTAAGCTCATACAGTATGTGATCATTTGCACCTGGCTTCTTTCACTTAACATGTTTGAGGTTTAGCCTTGCTGCACTATGTATCAGCAATTTGTCTCTTTGCTGAATATTATTCCATTGTATGGATATAACGTACTTATTTTAATACATTAGCATGTCTTGATAACGGATTTTATCAGTTGCCAGGTGATGGACATTTGTATTGTTCCTAGTTTAGGGCTATGATGAATAACTGTTGCGAGGAACATTTACAGACGTGTCTTTGTGTGGACATATGTTTTCATTTTTTTAAATTGATTTTGAGAGGTAGAGTTACAGAGAGAGAGGTCCTCCATCCTCTGGTTCACTCCCCAAATGGCTGCAATGGCCAATCTGTGCCCATCAGGAGCCAGGAGCTTCTTCCGGGTCTGCCACATGGGTGCAGGGGCCCAAGGACTCAAACCATCTTCTACTGCTTTCCTAGGCGGGACACGAACCAGCGCCCATATGGGATGCTGACACCACAGGTGGACACTTACCCTTCTACACCACAGCGCCTGCCCCACATTTTCATTTCTTTTGGACAGATTCCTGGGAGTGGAATTGCTGGGTTGTGAGGTACACTTGTGTTTGACTTTTAAGAAACTGTCAAGCTTTGCCTCAGTTCCTGTGGCATTTCATATAACCGTCAGCAATGCATGCGGGTTCCGGTTCTGTTGTAGCCTGACCGATGTTTGGTATGCAGTGGTTCTCATTTACATTTCCCTAATGCAAAATTGTCTTTTAGATGCAAATATTTTAAATTTTGATAAAGTCCATTATCACATTTTTCTTTTATACTTTTGGTGGTGTATATATAAGAAGTCTTTGCTGGACTCAAAACCATGGAGAACTTCTCCCAGGTTTTGTTGTAAAATTTTTAAAGCTTTGCTCTTTTGTTTTTTTAAAGATTTTTTCATTTATTTGAAAGTCACAGGGAAAGTTTTTGAAAGTTACACAGGGAGAGGAGAGGCAGAGAGAGGTCTTCCATCCGCTGGTTCATTCCCCAGATGGCTGGGATGGATAGAGCTGCACCGATCCAGAGCCAGGAGCCAGGAGCCAGGAGCCTCTTCCGGGTCTCCCATGCTGGTGCAGGGGCCCAAGGACTTGAGCCATCCACCACTGCTTTCCCAGGCCACAGCAGAGAGCTGGATCGGAAGTGGAGCAGCCAGGACTAGAACCGGCGCCCCTATGGGATGCCGGTGCTTCAGGCCAGGGCATTAACCCACTGCACCACAGCACCAGCCCCTAAAGTTTTTGCTTTTAAAATTAGGCCTATACTGTGTTTTGAGTCCACTTTTTGTGTCTGGTATGAGGTAAAGGTCTAAGGTTTGTTTTGGTGGGATTTATTAGTTTTATATGCAAGTATACAATTATCCAAGCAAAGTTTGTGGAAAATTATCTTTTCTCTACTGAATTGTCTTTACATCTTTGTAAGAATCAACTGACATCAATTTAATGGTTTCTAGATTCTAATTGTGTGTCATTATCTACATGGCTATTTTATGCCACTACCAAAATCTCTTGATTGATGTAGTTAATAGTTTTGAAATCCAGTAGTGTACATCCTCTTCATTGCTTTTAAAACATTTAAGAGGCCAGCACTGTGGCGTAGTGGGTAATGCTGCCACCTGCAGTGCCGGCATCCCATGTGGACGCTGGTTCAAGTCCCAGCTGCTCCACTTCTGATCCAGCTCTCTGCTATGGCCTAGGAAAGCAGTAGAAGATGGCCCACATCTTTGGGCCCCTGCACCCATGTGGGAGACCTGGATGAGGCTCCTAGCTCCTGGCTTCAGTTTGGTGCAGCTCTGGCCATTGTGGTCATCTGGGGAGTGAACCAGCAGATGGAAGACCTCTCTCTCTGCCTCTCCTTCTCTCTCTGTGTAACTCTTTGAAATAATAAAATTTTACTACTCCAGGCTCTTTGCATTTCCACTTTATGGAAACTCCGGTGAGGATTCTGATAGGGATTTTGTTGAACTTACTTATCAAGGTGAAATTTGCCATCTGGACAACACTGAATCCACAGTAGGAAATGCCTGCCTGTGAGATTTTCCAGCCCTGGCACTGTTGACATTGGGCTGCCCTGGGCCTTCCAAGATGTTTAGCACACTGCTCACCTCCACTCTAGGCACCAGCAGCCTCCTCAAGATGTGACGACCACATCACCAAGCGTTCCTTGGAAGGAAAAATCACCCCTGGTTAAGAACCTCCAATTTACATGTTCATTAATTTTTGTTTTGCAGTTTTCATGGTATAAGTATTGCATGCCTTTTAATGCTACTGGGAGTGGGTTTTCTTATTGTTTCATGTTGTAGAAGTGGTACAATTGCCCGTGGGAGACCAGGATAAGTACCTGGCTCCTGCCATCGGATCAGCGCGGTGTGCCGGCCGCGGCGGCCATTGGAGGGTGAACCAATGGCAAAGGAAGACCTTTCTGTCTCTCTGTCCACTCTGCCTGTCAAAAAACAAACAAACAAACAAACAAAAAAAAACCACAACGATGTGGTACACTTGTTTTTGTGTATTTTTATATTGGCCACGTTGAATTTATTAGCATATCTGCATGTGTGTCCTCTGTGAATGTTTTTCCTTTTCAAATCAGCGGTGATGGCTCAAGTATGTGGGCCCTTGCCACCCACCTGAGACTTGGACATCCGAGTTTCAGGCTCCTGGCTTCTGCCAGGCCCCAGACCCTGCATGGCTGGCGGGGGGGGGGGGGGGGAGGCATTCGAGAAGTGAACCAGTGGATGGAAGATCTCTGTCACTCAGCTTTTCAAGTAAACTTAAAGAGAAAAAAAATATAAAAGCAATGCCCAGAGATGTTACAGGAGTCGCCCAAGGTGCTGCATACAGGGAACCAAGAACTAAAAGCTGAGCCTGACTCCCACGTCCACCCTGTTTCACTCCAGCAGGGCAAGGGAGGAGTTATTAGAGAAGCCTCAAGACCCAGAGGGAAGGAAGCAACGGAAGGCAGGGGCTGGAGACGAGGCGGCCATCGGGCAACTGCGTGCCAGTCTTCACCTGCAGCTCGCGCCACACACATGCATGATCTGTACCGGACGAGGCGAGGGGAAAGGCAGGCAGGAGCTATTCTCTTCCATGCCTTTATGAAGCAGGTCACAGTCCTAATGGCCCTGTCCCCAGGCTGCCTGCAGTGCCATGTGGAGAGAGCTCACAGAGCCGCAGAGTTCGCGCTCTGCTGAACTCGCCGAGAATCTCCCTGAAGACACCTGAGGAATTGCCACCACTCGTACTTTAATTTTGAACCATGTGGATGTCTTCTGTTTAAAAAAAAAAAAATCAGCAATGGTCATGGGAAATAGTGTTAAACTTGGAAATTTTAAGACAATTTAGATAAAATCTAAAAATTCACCTGTAGTTCCAGAACTCAAAGATTACCATTGTTCTCTGGGTACACAAAACCTGGGTGGGGTTGTCTGGTTTTAAAAACAGGTCGTGGGGCTGGCACAGTGGGTTAAAGCCCTGGCCTGAAGCTCCGGCATCCCATATGGGTTCAAGTCCCGGCTGCTCCTCTTCCGATCCAGCTCTCTGCTATGGCCTGGGAGAGCAGCAGAAGATGGACTTGGGCCCCTGAACCCACATGGGAGACCCAGAAGAAGCTCCTGGCTCTGGATTGGCACAACTCCAGCCATTGCAGCCATCTAGAAAGTGAACCAGCAGATGGAAGACGTCTCTACCTCTTTAAAAAAAAAAAAAAATACTGGGGTTGTAAGAGAAGCACAAAAGCACCATCTGTTTCCATTTAGCAGCAGTCCAAGGGCAGCTTTCTTCCCCCAAGAGACTGCCATAGTGATGCCTTGTGGTGCACTGCTGCTTACTACAGCATCGTCTCCCCTTCTTCCTGTAGTAACCAAGCTGTTTTAGGGGGTGTCACTGTGTGTGCAAGTACCGGGACTGTCTCTGCCTTCTCTGCAGCAAGGTGGGGCCATTTGGGGAGTGAGCCAGCAGACGGAAAATCTGTCCTGTTAGGAGACGATGGCTTTAGCTCCAGACAGCACATCTGTATTGCAAGTCCCAGGCAAGGAGTGAAAGAAATGCCAGTGTTCTAAGGTTTCCTGGCAGTGTTATGCAATGTCTGCATTCACATCCAGACATCATCCTCTAACAGGAGCCCGGGTCCCCACTGACGACTTAAATATATACATTTGAAAGGCGGAGGGACAGAGCTCTGCCATCTGCTGGTTCACTCCCCAAATGGCTGCAACCTGACCATGAAAGACCCCAGCAAGAACTCCAGGACTCCATCCTACTGTTTCCTTAAGTAGGAAAAGGCAGCACCTGGCCGGTAACCATTTTGCCAGTGGGGCTAGGTAAGCCTCTTCTGTACTGGACTGAGAACTCGGGGCTAACACGGTGCAGCCAGCAGCGATGCCTCTGCTGTCTCAGCTTACACTGGTCTTCTCACAGAGATGTTCACGTTCTTCTGGCTTTCATTCATCCCGTTTTCAATGTTTACCATCTCCATGGATGTTCAAAGAGTGGCTAACAGAAAAGGCAGCATGTGAAGCCATCTTTAAGTCCAGTCTTAAGTTCACTGAAGAGATAAGAATATGGATTAAAAAAAAAAAAAAAACACACCATGGCATTACCAAAGCTTGAAAGAACTTTATTGTGGCTGTGGCAAGGTGCGTCCTATCCTTGGCAGGTGACACCAGAGAGCACTGAATGCCGGTGTGAATGATTTGCACTTGACCCCACGGGCATCAGGGAATCACTCGGGATTGTCCAGCAGATTGAGGGCTCAGATTTGCTAGAGAATTCTGGTAGCAGCAAGTATGACCCGGCACGGGGAGGCAGGCTACTGCACGGTCAAAAAACAACGAAAGCCCAACCCAGGGCAGTGGCGACGGGAACAGGAAGGAGGGCAGGGTATGGCAGTATCCAGAAGACAGACTACATGAGACAACACTGCTTAGGGGACACAGGCAAAGCAGGAATCAAGGACCCACCAAGTCTGAGATGCTCCCAAGTGAGAACAGGAGGGAGGAGGAGGAGGACAGGTCTGTCCTCAGCATTTACAATCTGAAGCAGCCATGGCACCCCCTCCAGATGAGAGGTATCCACTGAGAATCTGAAACACGGATTGGGTATCAGCAAGGAGTCGCAAGCTCCAGATTGGGGTCTAGGATCCACCTGGTGGTCCGGAGGGGCTTCACCATCAGGCCTCAGTGGGTAGACTTAGCAGAGCCTCTATGACGTTGGGGATCCACCACGTTACACGGGCAGAGGATGAGGAGCAGACACAGAGGCAGGCCAAGAAATAATGAACAGGATCCCAGCAGAGCTCGGGGTAGGGGAAAACCCTGGCCTCCATGCAAGTCCCCAGCAGACGTGTGGATGAGCTCGTCTCTCCCCCGAGGGTAGGGACCTTGGTCCCTGCTGTACCCGCGAGCTCTGTGGCTCAGAGCAGCTGGTCAGTAACGGATAAGGACCGGGCTCTAGGTGGTCACTCAACTTGGCAATTAGAAAGCACTGATGACATAAACCAGGGCCATTTCAGGACACCCACATCCACCCAAGCACAGTGCCACTGGGGGTGTGTGTCCTGGAAAACAGAAGGTTTAGGCACACATAGGTGAGTTCACCGCTCAGCTGCAGGAAAGCTGGCCTCTCCTTCCACGTGCAACTCTTGCTCTTCGTAGGCAGACACTGTTGATATAACGGGTGCCTCTTAGAGACTTCGTGTAACAGCCACAGAAGCTGCAAAAGCCACGCGGGACTTGAGCGTATGAGGATTTCAGATTGAAATGAATCTCGTGTGAATTAAGCTAAATGAAGAAATCACCCCATCACTCGTCTGTTTTATGGTTTTCACATTTGCTGAAAATTAGCATACCTTACTCTTTTACAGCTCCCATCGCCCCTTAGTGTTAGCAGATTGCCAAGTACACGTGGAGGTCGAAGGTGAGACTACGGAAGTACCGGAGCTTGCGGCGACAACTCCCAAAGCAGCCTTGCTGTTTCTGAGGTACAGTCCTGCCCAGCCAGCCACTCGGCCCTCGGACGGCCCTCGCGTACCCACCTCAGCCAGGGCTGGACTCCGTCTCCCCTGGATCGGGCCAGGCAGGACTTGTGAAACCTGCACCTCGAAGTTCCCAGCACACGGCAGCTGTCCACCGAGCAGTTTCCCCTTCAGACCATACAAGCAACAAACATCCGGGTCTCAGCTCTTCGGGGCTTCTCTCCGCTGAGGCAGGTAAGGGCCTCCGTCCTCCGTGAACTTTGCTCCCTGCTCAGCGGAAGACGGTCCTCCAGCTGTCACCTCCGCTGAGTGCCAGGTGGCTCTGCGTGTCCTGGTTACTCAGCGCTCCACGAGGCACATCTGCTACCTGGAGTTTATGCAGGGACTCCCTGTGTTTGGTGGCCACTTGGATCCTTGCCGAGCTCGCCTCTGACCTCTCTGCATCACCGCTCCCTGCCTTGGAGGGCGAAGGCAACAGCAAGGGCTGGCCCGTTAGCTAGGATTTCTAAGGACTAACGTGACGGCACAGAGAGCTCTGGGGAAATGCCTGTGGACGAGGAAGATGAGGATGGAGACGAGGGTCCTGAGGAAGGGCCCAGATTGGCTGCCCAGCCCACGGAACCTGGGGCAGGCCTGGGGTCTGCTCTCCCCTCTGCCCCAGAGGGGTCCATCCAGGGGCGATTCTAAGGCACAGTGGTAAAGGACGTGATTGGCCCACCCAGTGTGGTCCTCTGATCTCGCGGCAGCCCCTCGCCTGGACACAGTGCAACAAGCATTCCATTTCGAAGACCTTCCTGGATACGTGCAAGCAGCAACCGCTGATGGAAATGGAGACAAGGCCTTTCTCGGAAGAGTGTCCCAGGAGGTCCTCTCTGCCCCAAGACCAACCTGGCCCCTTCTAAGGTCCCTGAGAACAGCAGCCTGGGAGCAACCAAGACTTTCGAAGGCTGACAAGGCACACAGTGGATGAATGGGAAGGTAACAATACGTGGAAAAGAACTTTGGCTTATAAAGCCTCCCACCTGAGGCAGGGACAGCCGTGTCCATGAACACGCAGAAACAGGTATGATTGTAGCAGAGATGGTTATCAGAAATGCTGTGGCATTTCCCCACACTGCCCACATCCCAAGCCCTGCTCTACCCTCCCCCCAGCCCCAGTAACACATACGCACGCACGCACGCAGGCACACGCACACAGTATCTGCAGAACTAAGTCAAAGGCTGGCATTCAGAGCCCGACGTCAGGAGAGAACTCTTGGCACTCTGCACTAAGTCACGGTGAGGGGTCCCGTCCAGACAGCAAGTGCAGCAGCGGCCCGTGCTGGACGCCAGGGCCCGTCCTGCACCGAGTTAGGCTGCGCCCAGGACAGCCGGGTCTGGGAAGTCTTTCACTTCGCCTACTTCGCTGAAAGGCTGTCCACCCTGGTTGAATGTCAGCTTGTACCGTAGCCGGATGGGTTCCTGAAATTCGAAAACAGGGAGAAGTAGACTAGTGGGGAACAACAGAGACAGAGAAAAGGCCTTCACGCACCCAGCAGTCCCCAAGGAAGTGTGTGTGTATGAGAGAGAGAGAGAGAGAGAGAGAGAATTCCACCCAGGCAAGGGCTTCAGACAGCTGTCTCCCAGGGACACCTAGCTCAGCCCCACTGGGAGCCCTTCCACTCTGCTGCAGGCCCGAGATGGACTGTGGTCCCAAGAGCCCAGCTAAGGAAGACAGGCTCGCCCTGTCAGACGGCCCTGAGCCTGGCCGGGATGGAGTAGTCCACCACCAGCCTCCGCTGCAATCAAACCAGACTTCTGAGCAAGGCCTGTCCACCACGCCAGCCAGGAAGTCAGCACCCTTCACCTCCCTGCGACCAGGACGTACCTTGTGTGGGTTGTCGAGCAGTAGCATCTGAGAAATCACGGCTGGAGGCATCAAGGGACTGAACGCAGGAAGCTTGGAGCTGGATGCCGGCTGCAGCTTCACTCTCATCGACTACCAGGGGAGAAAACCCAACACGTGACTCACTCCGAACAAACGACAGCTTCACTGAGCAAGACCGAGGGAACAGGAGCGTGACCCCACAGCTCCCGTCCGAGGGGAAAGGCACCCTCAGGAGACGCAGGACTCCAGGCAGCACAGGAGTGCGACCAGACGTCCCGCACGGATTGACAGGAGGATCAACAGACGACGTATCTGGAGATGAGCGGTCAACACTGACGTCCGAGAGGCGGCATAGGAGCTAGGGCGTGTCGGGTTGAATTATTAACTCTGCGACTTACTCGCATTGTAACCTGGGGCAAAATGTTGACCCTCTGAGCCTTGTGTTGATGATTTACGGAGTGTTTTATAATTTATAGTAGCGCTTTATGATTTATAAAATACTAACCCTGTGAGACTACCATGTCTTTTGTCTGTCTTGAATCTTTTCCTTTCGGAAATGCCCCTCCCTCTGTGACTGCTTTGCTCAGTGGGGCTCCCCTGCCCTTTAGAGGGGGTGGACGTGTTACCCCAACTGGCCAGGTACCCCGAGCCTTGGATGCAAGTTACCCATCCAAGGTATGCGAGGACCATCTAGAAGGCCAATCAGAGCCCACTGGTGGGTAACTAACGTGCTCACCATGTGCCAGGTGAGTTTCGTTCTGAGAGCAGGAACTCAGCTGTGTGGACAGCCCCAAGAGGAGAGCGGCGTGAAGAGATGGAAAGGGACAGGCCCTAAAGAATCGCCCGAGAGCCGACCCGGAGGCCCTGGGATCTGAGGTCATCATCAGGAATTCCAGCCCGGTGAGCCGGAAAGACTCCATCCTCTTACACCAGTGACGGTCCCGTGCCTTCCACCTCCCACAGAACGTCCCAGCGCAACGACAGCCAGGCTGAAATGCTCGATGGAGCAGGGCGGCGGCGGTGACTCACCTTCGGCACAGCCACCTGAAACATGATGTCCCAGACAGGCTGCGTAGCCGTGCTCATCATGGTCAGCAGCAGCACCTGCACCTCCGGGTGCCCGGGGGCCCCAGTCTGCGAGAAGTGGAGCAGAATTCTGAATCCGTTCCGGTCATAGACGATAAGAGGAGGCAGGCTGCCTGGGGAGAGACCCAACCAGGAGGGTTAGCACTGCTGCCAAGTGCCCTACAGCTGGGCCTGGAAGACGCGCGTGCTGTTATCGCCAAGTGCTGTTGCTTTGCCTTTCAGCACAGGTTTTGAGCTTAACCTTCCTGCAAGACCCTAACCCAAGTTGCTTCTGTGGAGACGCCCATGACACTCCAGGCTCGCCTCTCCCCACCATGCAACCATCCCACACACACAACCAGTCTTTAAAAAAACAACACTTGCTGGGGGCTGGCACTGTAGTGTAGTGGGTAAAGACGCCTCCTGCAGTACTGGCTTCCCATATGGGCACCGGTTTGAGTCCTGGCTGCTCCACTTCCAATCCAGCTCCCTGCTATGGCCTGGGAAAGTAGTAGAAGATGGCCCAAGTCCTTGGGCCCCTGCACCCACGTGGGAGACCTGGAAGAAGCTCCTGGCTCCGGGCTTCAGATCGGCACAGCTCCAGCCAATGAGGCCAATTGGGGAGTGAACCATCGGATGGAAGGCCTCTCTCTCTCTGCCTCTCCTTTCTCTGTGTAACTCTGACTTTCAAATAAATAAATAAATCTTTAAAAAAAATAAAAATAATTATGTTCAATATATGTACATGGATTTAAAAAATACAGTGACATTAACAGAGCCTCCATCTCTGGTAATAGTGCAAGTTTACTTTTCTGATCTTTTCTAAAACTGCATGTGGTTTTGGCCTTTATTTTTAATTATCTGTAATAATTTCAGATTATATGAAGTTATAAAACTACTACAGAGAATTCCCAGATACTGTTCTCCTAGCTTCTTCAAATATTAACATCTTGCATAACTAGTCTAATTGTTGAAACCAGGGAATTAACATTGAACCTCTATTATTTTTAAAATCAA